ATCTCTAAAAGTACATAGTTAAAAAATAAATAACTAATAACCTATAGAATCTTTTATAATTAAAGAGTCCAGACAATAGATATTAGTCTCAGAAAAAAAGGTTATTTATATTTTAGAAGACCCCATTTCAAAGTATCATTTAAGATTATTTATAATAAACATTATATTTCTCCATTCTATTATTACTATGATAAAATCTTTTGATGAAATACAAACAAAAAGCCTAATAAATGAAATCAGAGTCATGCTTCCACGCAATCATTGTATCATCTAATCATAATTAAGTAAAACATTATTTTCATCCATCAAAATAATTTAATAAAAACATGTTATAAATATTCAACAAAATACACAAAAGTTATAATAAACATTTTTAAAATGTAATGTCAAGAGAATTGTGTAATTGATCGATTTTAGATATTTTTGCATAGCTTTAAAATTTAATAAAATATGTATATTGTTAATCAATAATCACTACAATTCTAATCATAACCTTATCATTGTTATATTATTTACAATTAAGAATATTAACTTATAAGAACTATATTCCTGAGGTTGATTGTACATTATAAAAGTCAAATAACTAAAGTAAATTTTATCTAAGCATTATAAAATATATACAAATAGATACTAAGTTTCTTTCTCATTTAAAATTTTGTTTGTTCACCATTCTCTTTAAAAAATATACTAAATCGAACAAAGAATACTATATAACCAGAGACAATATATAATCCTTCATAACAGATGCTTACGAATAACTGCATTAAATTAAAAAATTATATATATAAGCAAATAAATACAGTATGAAGATCCCGGTGGGATCACCCAGAGCCATGCACCCTGGGAGACCCAACGCTATAGAAAAATAAAATAAACGATTTATACAAAACAGATGAATTTATAGTTTGTTAACATAGTAGAGCCATCATCAACACCTGTTTGACCAAGGGATCCTATGTTATACAATAGTTAAATAAATGAGTTATAAAATACACAAAAATTCAGTTAAAACAGTGGAGTTCAATATCTAAAGGCAGGTATTCCAAGCAACTCATAAAAATAGTCAATTGGAACATATATCAATGTATTCAGAGAATGTGGCTTGATAAGTCAGTGGAGTGTTTTCCTAGAAACTGAATATTGTCTGACTCACAGTTTCATTATGCATTAGTTTGAAGTGATCACAAAGAGGTATCAAAAATGCCATAATTAATTTTTAAAAAAGGAAAAGTTAAGATGTATTTTAATTAACCATTTAGTAGATAGCAATGTTCAATTTAACAATACTTGAGATTCACAGAAGAACAGTTTTTATTCCTTATCAATCTTATGATAGGTGATTGCACCTATTAAACAAATTAGTCTCACTTTAACATATCAATTTGGACATAATCAAATTCTAATACAATTAATTTATTAAGCATATTTACATATTAAAAGGTAATATATTTTAAAAAGTAAATTATTATTGTAAAAATGATTATGGAATGCCCTGATCGCCAAAGAGGTAAGTCCGATTTCATTCACTAATTTAGTCTTTTTTGATCACATGTTTAAACTTTTATGGCTCATGTTCCATTGAAATTAATCAAATGAATACTACTTTAAATGTAAATTGTGACAAACGCAAGAGAAGAAAAGAAACTATATTCAAATTTAAGTGTTGTTCTTTTAAATACAGTTTTTTCTTCTTTTTTTTTTTTTTTGGAATTCATGAAAATGGATATAGCAACTATTTCTTTTTTTAATTAAACTACAATTTGATTCTAAAAAGTGTATCGATATTAATATTAAGTTAATAGGGACATAATAAATAATAAAGGGTACCGCGGTAATTCCTACGTCAGAGCCTATATATGTAAAGACATTACCATAAAATGTCTAATAACTAGAGACCGGGCTTTCGTGCAGTAAAAAACTGAAAAACGTACAATATAACACTTAAAATTTGTAAAATCGTGCATTAAAAACCCAAAAAGTGTAAAATTGTCTACATAACATGCAAAAATCATAGTTTTTGTTTAATTTACAATATTCACACTTACTTTCTCTTGTATTAATAATACAGGTTCTAAATTAAAGTTACATAGATATAATGTTTAGTAACGTAAAAAAATCTAATTCTAATTTAAAATGAACGACGATTAAATTAATTCTGTATGAAAGTAAATCAACTCATACTTCTATCAATTATTACAAATAATTTCATACTTCTACGTTTGAAAACTTGAAAATAAATATACACGTTTTGGAACCTTAAACATATGTTTTGAATCCGTGAATAACAGAACTATAAGGATAAGGGGCTTTGTAAGTGACTGTATGCTCCGGCATCTAAGTAAATTATTATAAATATGTTTCCCCAAATTATACTATTATTGATACAATAAAATGTATGTACTTGGATAGTAATTTTGTTACATATAGCAAACAAGTCGAGCCTAAAATATCTTTTCCATCCCAGAAACATAACTTGAAAATTTTGAATAAAAACATTAAGAACAAAAATTTAAAAACTTTGTCCAGCATTATGCCTAATCTAAACGTTCCAAATTGTGACACGCTGTACATGGGTTGGATACCCCTGTTATCAACTACAAATCTAATATAATAAAAGTAAAGAAATATTTACATACATACCTAAGTACATGTTATAAAGGAAATTTAGATAAAATATTTTACATTATACTATTTATTAAAATTGACATTTAGCCTTAATTGCAAAATATGCAATATCATGCAGCAAAAACTAAAATCGTGCAAAATGAAATTTCAATATGTTATTCTATAGATCGTGAAACGGATAGATTGTCGGGTTTGAAGTTTTTACATCTAAGCGAACAAAATGTGCAATAACATAAAAATCCGGTCTCTATTAATAACCATTGCTCTGTTCATCAGTACTTAATAATTTGACACCCCATAATAATTGGTCTATAATACCTATATTTTTTATCAAGAAACAATTTAAACAATTGGAAAGTAGTTTTAATAAATTTTTATAAATGAATCATCAGGTCAGAGCCACTCCGCATACAATGGTTACTTAGTAACATGTAACCAGGTGGTGGTGAGGCCGCTCTCTATGTTCAGTTGGTTTTGTTTTCTTTGGTAACTCACTGAGTGGCCCACCTTGTCACTACTTAACTAGCTAGTCACTAGCAATGTGGACCTGTACTTAAGAATGATAATTCAAATGAAAACTTAATTTTCTACATGAAACATAATGAAAGAGATAACACATTATTTACTTTTCAAAAATATTACAAAATAACATGAATTACTTATTTAGAGAGAAGTAAAAATAATACATAAGAGTTAAAGTTTTATTCAAACTAATTTATTAAAAATAATAAATGAGTTAGGGCTGATGAATTCATTTTCATTTCATGAAATGAACTACATATTTAGAATTAAGTAATTCTTTTCATAAAACAGAAGATAGTAAAACAAAAAATCTATCAAGCAATAACTGCATGTAGTAAACAAGTGTTACATAAAGAAAACCAAAACTTTTCTTCATTATTAGTTCATCCATTTCACATCATCATTATTTTCATAAAATTGATGTTATGTATGCTAACTAGATAAGGTAAGCATAAACATGCAATGAGTGAATGAATTGAAAAAATAAAATTAGCTCATATTTTTAAATAATAAATTATATCAGATAAAATTAAATGGATAAAATAACAAACATGATTTAAAAACTTTACGGAGTCTAAATCAGAACCTTGAGCTAGTTTCAAGAAGATTTGATGATAGTTCATTATTAACACTAGTGCAGTAATAAAAAATAGTTACAATAAAGAAATTTATAAATTACATTTAATAAAATTTAATTTTTGATTGAAAATCTTACCACATCAATTACCTTATCGAAATTTACAAATAACAATTTAAATAAAATAAAATAAGAATACTTCTTTCCAAGACAAGATGTCTTTATTTGCAACTATTTAGAATTATGAGTATGTCATCGTTAAATAAAAAAATCACAAAAAATAAATTTTACAGAAAAAAAAAACATTAACATTTTAGAACTATTAACATATCGGTTGTTTTCACCCAACTATAACTAACTTTTTTATATTTTAAAAGTAGTACACTATTAAAGTCTAAACAGGAATAACATTTCTACACTCCAGGGTAACAAATTGTTTATGCATTTACACTGAATAGATATAAAATGAACTAAGCAATGAGAAATTATCTAAGATAAATAAGGATAAGCCAACCAATATTAAAAATGTCAAGTTATGACTCCTATTATGACAATAAAATCTTATGGTAATTACATGAAAAACAAATGATTAACAAGTATGCACCTTAACGTTAACCAATTATAATTAATACCAATGTATATAAATACCTATAGTAATCAGAAATATATACAGAACCAGATATAATTAGTTAATTACAAACAGAAAAATGTACACTGTATATAAACACACAACAAAAAATTTAAACATCCATAAGTTTCATTTGCGGGAGGGAGGACATGGAAGATCAGGCTATAATTCATTAAACGAAAACCTTGCTTCACAAAAATTTAAATATATATATAAATAAATAAATTCATACCATATTAAAGTGAAATAAAAAGAAGATATTTGTTGTGAACTTAAAAGTCTGAACCACACCCTACAGAAAATTAATTTAATTTAGTCATATAATGTCAGAATATTTTATTTGAATTTTTTTAACATAACATGAATGATTCGAGACATAAAAGTAAATATCATTACATCAAGTTGACTAAAATATGATTTAGCCTCACATAGCAGTTGTATCACCCAATTTGTACAACAAGACACATCATTTTTAAAAACAATTTTTATAGAATCAGACTTTTCACTCTTTATATCTTATATAATTTTTATCTGTATTCAAAATCTTATAAAGGAATCTCCAATCAGTCGTTCCAATTTCTCTCTCTTTCATACACTTTCTCTCATTTTATTATTATTACAACTTTATTTTAGAATAAATAACAGGTAAAAATTAAATATTGTCTCATAAGCATTCTTGAGAATGTGTATTTGATATAAAAAGATACATTAGAAGAATAATTTAGTTTGGATCCAGCTCCTGAAAAAATAAATAATTAAAGGATACATATCTATATATACACGAGTGTGTGTGGGTGTGTGCTTTACGATGTATTAAAAAATAAAAAACAGATGCAGCAGAAAATTTCTTTAAACATAATTTATGAATATAATTTCGCGATTTTAGAAAAAATATTCAATATACGATTCTGTGATCTCTCAAATACATTTTATCTGTTTCCGATATCTTCTTTTCTCTTATGAAATTCTAAAACCAAAGTGAAATTGAACTTTTTTGTAACATTATTTTACTTTATATGAGTAATACAAGGTGACCATTCCAAGTAAAACAATGGAACAATCGAGTAAACAAGATTTTAAGGGCCAGATGTTACCACATCCCATCTTAAAACAAGGTCGAACACATAAGATATCTCAAGCATAATCAAGATAATAGAGTTCACATCCTCCTCCCAAAAAAAAATTCAATCTTTACGCAAATATAATAGAAATTTCCCACACTACTTTGTTATAAAAAGAATAATAGGGAAAGCTCCAAAAAAGAGAAAATAACATAACATAAATCTAAATAAAGTAATATGAATATAAAATAAATTAAATTTAATAATTGATAATAATCTTGCCGTAAAGTAACAAAAAAAAAATATTATTTTGATTTAAATTAAAATTTTTTAAAATTATTTATTTTTAAAAATAAATAAATTTAGAAAACATTACACAACTATTATTTAGTCAATTAAAATTTGTTTAATAAATAAAAAAAAATATTATGTAAAGGTTCGGATACAGCCACTCATTTTTTGTTTCTAGCTATAATCAATTCAACTTATTCCCTAATTCAAGGTCAACTGACCTTTATAAATTCTGTGGCTAGATAGTACAGTAAACCTGCCAGACATTGCTCATTACCCTTCCCATAATAAATAATGAAAAGTTCCAAACTTTTCTGGATCAGATTTTAATGGGGAAAGGGGAGGCATAAAACTGAATTTTTTTTTTTTTTGAGAACTGTGATGTTTATTCAGAACATTGTTCAGTACAAAATTAAAGTTCTATAAAATCTCTATTAAAATGATCCAATACATTTTATTGATAAAATCACCACTCACAGAGATATTTAAGAAATTATATTAATAGAATTTTCATTAAAAAAAAAAAAATTAGTCCTAACTATGAAATTACTATTGTTCATAAGAGATACCATTTTGAAGCTGAACTACTTTGTTCAATCTTTTTGATCGTTTGAATTATAATTAATAGTTGCATTGTTTCAATGATTCTAAAAAAATCATTGACAACAGAACAGTATTTGAAATCAATCAATTAGGAATTTTGTGATATTAATGACGTTCACTAGAAAATAATTTCTATTCAAAGCAGAAACGTGAACGTCAGGCTATCACAAAATGTTTATTTGAAGTGCATTTTTAACAGAGCTAAAGCTCAAACCTTAGAGCTAACATATCATTAAGACCATAAAAAAAAAACCTCTATTTATTATATTGACGGTGAGTAATAAAAACCTTGCAACTCCATTTTTTGTAAACTTTTGTTGCAGTCCAGTGTGTGCTATAATTATATGAAATCAATGTCAATCTAAACATATCAATATCACAAAATTCCTAATTGATTGATTTCAAATACACAATGTTCAGAACCGAACATTTTGAGACCCACACTCCAACATTTTCGGCCATCACATCCTAGTGCAAGGTCATTTGGTCAAGATTACTTTCAACCACCAAGTTTTCCCACAGTTAAAGGCATCCACTTTAAGAAGGGTGGTAGTGCCTTACTTAAGAGGGTCTTCAGACCTCTTAAAAAAAATTATTTTAAAAAATTAAATTTAGATAACTTACTGATTCAGCTCGATGTGGACACAGCTCTTTGTAAATTGATTCTATAATTGGCCTTCTGAAAAAAAAATATTAAAACAAATAAATAAAATATCATAGGAAATCAAATATTTATAATTCTAAGATTTGATTGATTGAGAATTTTTTAGCTTAACATGTAAGGGAAAATAAAGCCATAGTGTATACCAATTATAAAAATTCAAATTCCCAACTTTTTCAAGAAGTTGTGTGTATATGAACCTGCTTTCTAAAAAGGAATAACTAAGGAATCACCATGCTCGTACTCGATATCTGGATCGATACCAAAGGTTTGGGATCATGTAATAATATGTATTCTGTACAAGAATTGGAAGACCTAAAAGAATATGAGAACTATTGGAATATTGTGTTGCTTTTGAGTGCCAATAAAGTTATCTCAAAAGTGCTGATTGAGAAACTAGTTCCATTTTCTGAGAGAGAACTTGGGAAATATCAATTAGGATTTAGATATTTCAAATCCTAATTATTTACAAATAGGATGCTCAATCATAGACCAAATTTTCACTTTGTGAATGATCCTGGAAAAAGGCATGGAATACAAGCTGACTACTCCTTATCTCTTGGTAGACTTCAAGTCAGCATATGATAATATTGGCAGAGAGGTGCTGTACAACAGAGTGGAACGAAAAACACTTTTTTTTGGCAGATAGCATTCTAATAGCACTGAAAAGCTGCAGTTGCCTTTTTATGGGAACAAAATTTTGTTCTCTACGTATATCTTGAGGTTTCGCAATAGGTTTAAAAAGAAATTCTTTGTTCAATGTTTTAGTGCAATTAGATTAGCAATAAAACTAATAAATTAATGTCTTTTTATCTCAAATTGACAGATTCTTATCTTCAGAACTATAAGATGCTGAAATAATGGGGAACTTTTTTTTTACCATTTACAAAAGATTTGAATTCTTTTAGAAACAGTCCTATGGTGCTTTGCATTACATACACACACACTTTATGTATATATATATATATATATGCATATAGAAGGAGAGAGAAAACATATTATATACTAAGTCATACATAAAGAAGAAATAAAATTAATAAATAGCAATACATTAAACTTACTTCGCACTAAGGCCTCCACCAGGTGGCAGATCAGCAATTTTAACATCACCTAAATATCCTAGAACTTGCCTAAAGCCCATGTCTAGTTTATTGCTAACGACTTCTAAAAAGGGGAAAAAAACATTAATAAGTAATTATAAGCACAGTTTGCATGAAATACAAATTCATTCACTTAATTGATATTTGGTAATTATTTCCAACTAAATAAGTAAATTTCAAAATACAAAAAATGAAGATGCAACGCCCTGATAAACGTTGGTAAATACAATAAAGTACTATTATAATATATAATATTATATATTGATCGCACCCCCGACCAACTCTTTCTCGAAAGATAAGAATGAAGAAGTGGAACAATGGTGATAGCCTTGACCAACAGGCCAAGTTGAATATACCATTTTGTCTATGGTTTGAAGCCATCTCAGGGTTAGCCTTTGGATTTCTTTACAATACCACTCACACTTTGAGCTTTAAAATAACACTTTAATTCTATTTTATACCTCAAAGATTTTTCCTTCAGAATATTGATACACTGACCAGAACTGATAATAGATGGTGCTTAACTCGGATTTAAAGGAAGAGGGAGAAACTCAATCCAATCCAGTTACTTGTTACATGTAAAAAGAATTGTGTGTGGTCAGACATTATTTTGTAGAAACAAAAACTGATTTCAGTTTACTAATTCTGGTTAACACCATACATTTTTTGTAATAAATCTTTACTAAGTTTTCAATTAATAAATCAATAGTTCGTTCTTCTACAATGAATTATCATCACTTAACAGATATGTATTTAAGAAACAATTTCTTTCGGGGATTAAATGGCCCAATGCCTTAAAAATCAAAATTAATTATACTCTTATGTGGAATCCCACAAAAGAGACTTCTTCTTTGTTGCCTATGCAACTAAGTCCGAAACACCACACACATTCTTCCTACACATAAGCTTCCCCATAAAATGCTGGCACCACAGGGTCAAGTACAAATTGATGAGGCACTTAAGAGAAAAATCTTTTAACTGCTTTGATGAGGTTTATTTCATTGACACTGACAGATCCACAAAAATGCAGATATTGTTGCATTCTTCTAGACCGAAACAACTGAACGGGTTGAATTCGACAGTGAGATTTGAGAAAATGACCTAGATTAGAATGGAAAGTGAGAAAAAGATATAGCGGAATCTTGATAATCCTAGTTAAATGAAAACAGGACTTGGTTTACCACAATTAAATAAATCCAACAAACATGACATCAAATTGAACAAAAAACCTAACGGACTATGCTACATTTAGTTTTTTATTTTTTGTTGGTTTTCATTCACCTAGAAGTTGAGCAGTTTTGGAAAATATTTTACCACTCCTAGGAAGCAAGCTTTACCCAATTCCAGGTCTCCACAGTGAGAGTACTTACTCTTAGTGTAATGGGACAGTGAAATATGTTTGTTTACTCATCTTATTACATATGTAATCGCAGTGAAAAATTGTTTCAAGACTTAAGCAAAACATATTATGAAAAGGAGGTGAGAATCCATGAACTGCAGTGATGGTGATATCTATGTTATGGGCTCTCAGCACCTAGGTCATACCATTGAGTAGATGTACCTATGAAATAATGAGACTTATGCTGTAAAACATTATATTTTGGTTTCATACATATTTAATTATTATCACCTTCAATATACATCCCTCCTCTGTCTCTACAACAGTCCATGGAAATCTTCCATTGCCTGAAAGTGTGCTCGAAGTCTTCTTCAGTCAATTTCTTCAGGACACGTCCCACTTTCTCTTTCATATGTTAAACAGACTCAACTCTTGTTCCTTTTAATGCAGATTTCACCTTAGTGAACAGATACTGTAATTGACTAGAAACCACTTGACAGATAATGCGGAATGAGCCAACGCATTGCCTTGGTGAAGAACCCATGACTTGACCTTCTGCAATTCAGGTCATTTTTTCTATTATACTTTCGTGGATTTTAGCAAGAACATGATTGTAGTAATGTTAATTAATAGATTGACCTACAACAACCCATTGAAGATGTATGTACAATCCCATAAATATAAAAAAAAAAAACTCATTGTTGCTTTGAAATTTGATTTGGTCATTGAAAGTTGTTTGCCTCTCCGTAAAGTGAGGCTCTTCCAGAGCATGGATTGATGTTTAGTTACAAGATCATAAATAAAAATCCATGATTTATCACATGTTATTATCCTTTCCTATAAGTTGGCTCTTCAGAAGTTCTTGCAGTCTTCTTGCTGAAAATCTCTACTTTCCTTTCTTTCCTTTACTCCGTCTTTTCTAAATAAAAATACTCAGTTTTTTTACACTAAATGTGTTTTATTAGCTTTTATAGATGAATGTTTATAATTAGAACTGAAAGGGCTGTTTTGGCAGCTGTAAACATCAGACTACAGTGGACTTAGGCCACATTTCTAGTCTCCACCAGTGCTCCCAGACACTATTATTTTTATTTTAGAAGTTAGTCAGGGGTGCAATAAAAAAATACTATATTATATAATAGTATATTTATTATATTATCCAGCCTTCCAACCTATGTTGTAGGTCTTCTTCAGGGCATTCTGTCTGGCACTGCTGAAGACAGTACGGCCGCTGACGTTACAGCATCAACGTTAGACAATGTAATAAATATACTATTATATAATTTGTATGTTTTGACAGCACCTCTGACTAACTTCTACTGAAATTAGTATCTACGGTCAACCATCTCCATACCATTACTATTATTCTTAGTTTTTGCCTAAATATGAACCTTTATTATGTTTATTTTTTTAAATGAAATTTTTTATAATTCTTTAATATTTGAATTTTAATCCAGTTAAAATTTACAGGCCTTTTTTTCATGCAAGTACCAAATTGTAATAAGTTAAAACCAATTCAGAAAAAAATAAATGAAAGATACATTTACCTGATGATTACAACTTGAATTACAATCGATCCTCAAATATAGGAGCTTACAACAAATTATAGCAGTTCAAGAGATTTTAGGGATGACGCATTATTGGCGACACTGTTTAACTTGGCCTTACATTTGGCAGTTAAAGATGCAATTAAAGCTGGAACGCTAGCCAATAAAACCTGGCAGAGCCAGGCAGTATGTAAATAAAGAGATTTTAGACACAATTTCTCATTCAAAAAATAAATGCTTCTTAAAAAAGCATTTATGTCCCAATAATAACTACCAGAAGAAAATTTGAGAGCTTAGATTTTAAAATTTGGAGTCTGCTATTATAAAGATAACAATATTATCTCAATCGTGGAGCTTATATTGAAAAATATACCGATAAGAGTATGAAAAGCTTATTATAATTTTTACCGAACATCCACTTCAAAAATGTAAGGATTCAAAAGTAAAGAAAAAACATAGTTATTGATCAACAAATCTAACACTTTATTAGAAAATAATGTATAATTACCTGACCATTTTACTTTATACTATATCTGGTTTTGTTACTAACTAAGAAATTTAAAAAATACATAGTTATAAGAGATATTTAGACATTATTATATTAATAATGAAGCATATAAAAATATATGTATAAAAAAAAAATATATATATATATATATTTACAGACCTCTAACTAATGATTCTATATTTTTGTTTAAAGCTTGATCACGTTCTATTGCTTCTTGAGATGGTTTGGGAGCTGCTGGAAACGTAACAAGTACAATGCTCATATTATCACGACTTCCCTGTTATAAAAAAAAAAAAAAATTCTGACATACATAAAAAATTAAACTTTATATTAATTTTATAGTAGAATAACCAGTTATGTTTTTTTAAATGACCAATATACTTATAACAATAAAAAAAAGGCTTCAAAAAATATAATTTTTTAGTGAAAAATAAATAAACTATCTAGATAAAAATTGTTACTTGTTGAATTTATTTTAGAACGATCGTGGAAAGGAAATAATTTATTGAATGTTTTGAAGTTCATGTATTACGGTGATAAAAGAAATTCAACAATCAGATCTTATTTACTTTCTGTGGATCCAAAGAGAAAGTAAATCTAAAATGTTCATTAGAAGACATTTTTTAAAAAATGGTTGATTATAAGTTTTTTTCTGTTATTTCAGGAGAATAATACTAATTGGTGGCATTGGATTAAAGCTCTCTATACCAATACAGCTGTAAGAGGAAGATAAATTAGAAAAGAGTAATAATAATAAAGAGAGCTTAGTGAACCCAGAGGTTCAATGGTAATACTACCAACAATTGTTACACATACACTGTGGTGCAAAAAGGCAAAAATAGGAAAAACCTTATCTCAAATCAACCAGTTGTGTTACAGGTATCAAAATTCAAATTTATATGCTTCATTGGGTGCTGAATCAAATGAAGCAACATCCAACTTAATTGCATAATTGGAAAGGGTCAAAATTTAAGGTCAAAAAGTAACAAAAGATTATGTTTGGTATCGATATATATGTTTTTTAAGGTATCAAATAGAATGAAATAAAAGCTAACTAATCGGATAATTAGAACGAGTCAAAATTCCAAAAAAATCATGTTTGGTATCAATATATATGTTTTTAAGGTGCCAAATCGAATTAAATAATAGTCAGTTTAATTGGACCATTAGAGAGCATCAAAATATGACGTCAAAAATTTAAAAAGACATGTTTGGTATCAAAATTTATGTTTTTTGATGTGCTGAAGCAAATAAAAAACTACAGCCAGTTCAATCGGATTATTAAGAAGGATGAAATTTTTAAGTTAAAAAGTTGGAAATTATTCAGGAACTAAATGTAAAACTATATCATTAGGTTAAATTCCTTGAATTCAGTTAAAATATATACACATTTGGGCTATGAGATAATTGGAAAAATCACCCCACAATACTATACTAAAAATAGCTAGGTACTCAAAAATTGTTAAAATATCAATCCAGAAATTTGTCCATTTTTCAGTTGTTTTTTTTTCTCCAAATGCACCGCTGTACTATGTACCTTCCAATCCCATAATTAAATTCTATCCTATTAAAACTTGTATCTTGAGCATAAATCCAAGAGTAACCCTCCAATCTAATCCCTTCCTGTATGGTTACCTGAATTTATCTTCATATGTTTGGCTTAAAAAGCTTTCTTTTTTATCTCGAATTCCAAACTTAATTTTATAACTGAGTTTCACGCTACATGTGTAAATAAAATTGTTTTGTTTTAAAATCACATTTTGTAGACATTGTGACATGTTAATTATTTCCAGTTTAAATTCAGATTATATTTAAATAGCAAATGCCTAAAGAAGCATCTATGGACATCTCTAGCAGGCTATCTTCAAGTGCTTATTGGAGTTTAAGACCCTTCTTCTTAACCAATTATTAGACCAATATTAAATAACCAAATCCTATTTATGTCTATTGTTCTAATTACCTGTCATATCAACTCCTATTCCTTCCAACCCAATAAGACGAAATCCTAGAAAATTTTACTCAAAACATTTATCACATTATTGCGATTTCAGAAACCTGGCTCAAGTCTTACATATCTCCCTCCTCTTTTTCTCTGCATAACTAAACCCTTATTCGCCATGATTTGGATAGCTAGACTGGCGAGAGTGTAGCTCTGTATGTTATCTCCTACATTCAATAAGTTACAAGTTGAGTTCTCCTGTAATGCCTCCTCTCTCCTTCATTACACAATATAGCATCCACCTTTTGCTTAGTTTGATCTGATTTTTTTAATCGACCCAATTTAACTTTATTCCCTCTACTCTGAAATAATCATTTCAAGCGACCTTAACACTAATTTCCTCTCTGACTCGGGCGATAAATCTTATCTTGAAAACTTATTTTTCTCTTCCTTTCTTCGTAGTTCCTTTTTCCCTCACTCTCCACACCTCCAGATCTGATACTTGGTTGGACTTTTATATTATTGGCTTTGCTTAAAACCTCCTTTTGCCTTCCCAGTTACCAGTTGAGATGGCCATCGATAGTATCTACTTCCATATTATCGACTATCGATATCGTTCTTCCATATTTTAATTTTAAAATTAAAACTATCGTTTTCCGAAAGTGCTAGGTTTCACAAAAGAATCTGATAGTTAGAAAAAAAATCATACTCATCTTGTCTGTTTCATATAGAATGTAGTGTTATAGCAGAGGAAAATATCGATAATATCAACTAACGATGGCCATCCCTAAGTAGAATTGAATAGCGCCTGTGGGACTCTTCTCACTCAGTAAATTCAATTTGTCCAAATTTGTTAGTTAAAACTTTCTCAAACCAAGGACACTAATTGTCAAAGAAATCTATGTAGGATGCAAATAAATTGACATTTCGCTGAATCCGATCTGTGGGCGAATAGCATAATTGGTTGAATGGAAATTTCTGGGGAAAAAATGAAGATGATAAAAATGAACAGGAACTAGAAAATTAATTTTACTAAGGAGGGTAGAAGAAGTGATATTTCCATTAATTAATTTTAAGAGGAAAATGATCTATTTTTTTAAGCATCCATGTGCTGGAGAATCAATATTTATATTCAAGTTCATATTTCAAAAATGTTTACAATATCGACTTTCAATATTTCAAGTCCTATAATTAGATGGTATCGATAGTTGTAGCCAATACTAATATTGATATCCCATCATTAGTTACCATTCATTCTCCTTTTTTATCTTCTCATGACCTGATCTAATCATATAATATTTAAACTCATCCGATTCTATCTAGTACATTTACATTCCGCAACCTAAATGCCCTTACTCATGAAAACATTTTACCCAATGTCGAAACATTTGATTGGAATAAAATATATCCTGTTCTTCATAATCCCTTACAGATTACATTAAATAGAATATAATCTCTCTCAGCACCTTTTTATGTGCTGGTACAGGTAATTTTATGTACTTTTTTATGGAGGAAGAATGAATTTCCTAATAGTAGATTGTGGTCTATACAGGAGTCAATAAGATGTTGAACATTGCTTTTTTCAATGATTTCTCCATAGAGGAGAGTGCATAGAGCGTATGCTCATAACTCCATGAGCTCTGTTGAAACTATACCCGATTCTATCATTGAAGTCCCCCATAAGTATGACGCCTCTTCTGTTATTTTGGGCTTTAATTACTTTAACTGAAAGGTCAGTAATAAACCCTTATATCTGAGTCTTCTTTGGGGCATATACTTGTATTAACGTATTATGACCTATTGATATTTCATATTTATGTTATATTAACTAATGTAATATATAGAACACATTGTAAAAATTGCACTAAGAAATATTAATATGGACAAACAACACAATGGCTTTTAAAAAGATTGCAACAACATAAACAAAATTGTAGTTCCAAATCAGTAAAATCTAATACATCAATGCCTTTTGTGGCATTCAACTAGTAATAAACATAAAATAAATTTCAAAAATGCTACAGCTGTATATTAAAAAAAACAGCATTAATAAAAGAAGAATTATCAAATCCATTTATATTACCAAAAATTTAAATGGTTCGGTAAACCAAAAAATGGATGTTGATAATAAAAATAATTTTTATTTACATTAAAGTTAATATTTTGAAACAATTTAAAAAAATAAAATAAAGAAATAATCTAAATTTAAACAGCTCTTAAATTAATTAATCCAGATAAAAACCCCCTCTCAATTTTCTGTCTTTATATTATAATTATTTATTTTTAAAATTGTATTTATATATATATATATATATATTTTAATTTTCAGACTTTAAAATAGCCCTAGTACTGACTGACACGACCTTTAAAATATTTAGGTAATAAAAGCAATAAACCTATGGTGATCAAATGGCCTTAGAGGTTCTTTTTTCCTGTTGGCATTATAGACCATGTCAATCTTTTACTGCCTTAACCAGCCTTCTCCATCTGCCTATAATTGGCTATTTCTTTCCAGTTATCTGCTAGCAGCTCTATTGCTTCTTTGTTGATTTGATCTATATAATGTTTTTTTTCTATACTTTTCTATTTTATATAGTTGTGATTTACTAAAAACAGTTTCAATTTAAACTTGCCACCATTTATAATACAATAAATTAAGCAGTTGTTGGAAGGGACAGCCTACATCATAGTGTTAGTTTTCTCCTGATCTTAGACCAGATAAGTCAGTGCCTCCTAGCATTTCAGCCTGGCAAATTTAGTTTCTGTCCGGTTTTCGGCATGAAGAAGGCAGTTGTTAGTTGGTTCCTGCCATCAGTGATTACAGTACATCATGTCTTCAATCACCTTTTTGAAGTATATTTAAATTCAAAATGTATGAAGTACAAATCATTTATACCAGCTTTCCACCAAAGTAGTTTTTTCCAGACTTTTATAAGGGAATCATATAAACAGTATTATATTTTATTTAAATAATTATATATGTTTAAGAGTAGTTTATTGAACCTCAGATTATTCACAAAAACCAAATTTCTAAGATTTCAGTCCAAACAATTATTTAAATTAAATTCAGTAGAAATATTTTATTCATAAATTAACCTTTAATTAAATTATTTTATATTTACATATTTTTTCTTTTTTAAATCTTAACATTTACAGGGTATCCGGTAAGGAGAGGGAAATTTTTATAGGAGTGATAGCAGGCCTCAAGAGCTATAAAAAAGTTTATAAAAACAATGGGCCAATTTTCAGCAGAAAAGTGGGAAATCCAAGTTGTTTTTTTTTGGGTGAGTCATGTTGTTAGTACAAAACTGCTACATAACTTCTCAGGGCCTAAAATAGTGTGCACAAAGGGGAACTTGCCCCTGGCTGCATAATTGAGGAGGCAGCGATTTTCTAGAGAAAATTGATTTGAGGTTATGTAAAAAGCGTTTGTAAATACATGATTATAAGCCAAAAATTTCATATTAACAACAAGATCTGCTTAAAAGAGAAATTGTTCCCCATAGTAGACAGTAAAATAACTCTACTCCAGGATAACCTCAATGAATGACCAACAGTTAGAAATAGAACTGTAAGAAAGAGCAAACAGAACTTCTTCTCTCTCTCAGAAGTATTAAAATCTCAAATGAAGGGTGTAAAATCCAATGATAAATCTTGTTCTGATAACTGGTTGTGAGACAGACACAAACCACCACCCTAAACAGAATTACTGAAAGCTTTGATAGGAAAATCTTCCGCATGATAATTGAGTGATCTGTATATGAGCACAAATCATGGAGAATGCCAATAAAGAACACTCAATATCTCATGATATGAAGGTAAGGAGGTAATAATAATACACAATACATATCTTATCACCATCTTAATGTCTATTTACTTTATCATCAATTTTCTTTTTAAAAATATGTATTAAAACTTCTCTATTTTGTGTAAATAATAAAAGAAAATAGATAAGAAATTACAATATTATAAAATTAAAAAGTTATACCTTATAAAGGCAAGTGTCTATAACTTGATTTGTAATAGCCTCTAGATCGTCAGTCAGCAACAACAAAGATCGGATGTAGTCACAAACATCTTCATTAGACATAACATCCCAAATACCATCGCATGCTAAGACTAAGAATTCATCATTTTCTTCATCTCTATCCTTTAATAAAACCATTTAAATTTATTAGATACAACAAATAAAAATAATATGATCTTAAAATAATTATTGCATTGATATTAATCTTAAAATATATTTTAAAAAAATGCTCCAAACATACTACTAATTATTACAAAAAAATTTCTTAAAACTCACTATAAAGTTTTATGATTTTTAAAAGTTATTTATTTTATTTTTTTCTTGCATAGGAAGCGATAGCTAATAAAATATTTAATCTAAGTAATTAACAATTGTTTCATAATATTTAAAATTTACTGTCAAATCAAAGTAGAGTCTGTCTTTGTTACAACCACTTAAAGATGAATTTTAAGCTGCTAAACTAGGCTAAATTTTGTTTTTCATAATCATCAATTATACACAATTTCTTTTTTATTCTATTTTTTTGACGACCTGCCAACTAGACTACAGTTATAATACTTTTCGAAAACCATCTTGTTCAATAAGCTTTACATCCACGTTAATTAGGCGAGGTTTGTTCCAAAATAAGTTAAATTTACCAACAGTTGTGTACAAAAAAGTGTGTGTCCAAGATAAGTTTGCCTGTAGGGGATGGGAGCTCGCACAGCCTTTTCTCTCTCAAGCTCAACCTCCCCTTATCACCCTAGCTATCAACTCATACCGGTAACACGTTTTTCAATTTTCTTCTAAATTTATAAAAGGAATGAACAAAAAAAAAAAAAAAAAAAATGGTCAAAGAAATTTCAACTTATAAAAAAATTGTAAAAGTACGTATGAATGAGTTAAGACGAGAGTGGGGGAACAGCAGGAAAATCGTTTTGCCACTGCACACATTGCTTCCCCTCTACCCACTGACAAACTTATCTCAGACGGACTCAACAAAGCTTTTATTCGCTTTTTTTTCCATTCTATTGAATGTATTCTAATAAATTAATTACAAAAATACGCTCTCAATCAATAAAAAAATATTATTGCAAAAATTAGTGTATTGTTTTTTATTAAAGTCCCTGACTTCAGGTGTATTTTTTCCCCATGAAATTCCCTAACTTAAGATTTCTTTTTTTCTATAAAATTCCATGACATTTCCAGGTCAGAGACACTGCTGAGTTGACTGATAATACAAAAAGATTTTTAATAACTATGATCACCCTAATATTATTAATTAATAATAAATCGGGTAAATACATCAGTAATTAAAGACAAAATATAATATTTGCTCAAACAAATAATTAGGCATTATTTTTTATACTCCAAGTCAGACTGATGTTCATAATTATGTAACATTGTTATTATTCTTAAGGGACTGTAGTCCCAGAATAAAATTATTTTCTCATACATTCATTGAAGCTACTCATGATCCTTTTGGGCATAACCAGAAAGATTGGAGATCTTATAAACTTTGGGGGTGGGGTGGCCGAATAGGCTAAAGCGTGTGACAGCACCGCGAGTTGCCTGGCAACCAGATTACAGATTTGAGAAGATTTAAGAAGTACGAGTTCGCCTCCCGGTGCCGGAGGGGATTTTAAATTCCCTGCCCTCATCCCCCGGCCCGGGAAAATCCCATATAGCCTAAAAGGCGAGGTAGGGAAGAACAAAAAAAAAAATCTTATAAACTTGCTCAATTTTGTTCTCCATTATCTCCAGTACAGTTGGATGAACTAAAGCTAATTTACGATTCATATTATATTTCTATGTATTCTAAACACCTCCTGTGGAATTCATTTAATTATTTTAAAGGTATAAATAAATAAATATCATAAGTGCTAACATCTGGGCGGTTGGGGTACCTGAGACCCCCTAGCAACCTTTTGTAAGTGGTAATAAAAACCCTTAAGAACCCCAAAGGAACGACACCGCTCTTACAGGGGCAAAGAACCACTTAAAGACCGACAACAGTCTCACGCCTGAATGTTTAAATAGGATTGAAATTACCATTAACACCTTCCACCAGAAATACCAAAAATATACCTGCTGGAATATCTTGGCCTGGGGGAGAGGGCGTAGTCATCCCTTAGGCTAGCAACATTCAGCCAATAAGAAAAAAGTACAAAAAGAGAGGGAGGTGACTAGAAGCGAGGAGTCAAGCTAGGAGAGATAGGGACTTCAAGCTGGGGAGTCGAAGGAGGAAGACAGCCAGAAAGAGCACATGGACGGACTAGAGGCTGAAGGAGAGCAGGGACAGGGAATCCAGAGATGACGGCTAGAAACACCGGCAACCCCCCTCACCACGAAGAACCAGCTAAGTGGTTAAAAGCATTTAGTTATACAGATGTAAACTTGTGTGGCAATCCCTAATCATTAATAGAATAAATAGATCAAAGTAACTTAAATCAGGCATAATTTTGTAAATAGCATTCTCCTCTAGTATGATTCTCTACTACTCATTATATATATGTTCTGGTTTTATTTAAGCTTGTAAATATAATAGTTAGTAAACCATCTTGTTAATTTGACAATCTCCGATGCATGCCACCAATTAGTTATAGAACAAATAGTAAATTTATAAACATGACACCTTTAGAAGAGAAATCCAATAAAAATTATATGGTTCAATCTAGGATACTACAGTAGGGGGTCTGTGGTATCTAACCTTTAAATACATAATTAATATATTTTTAAGTTTATCGGTTCCCTTCTGGGACAGATATAAATACAAATATAAATATTAAATACAAATAAATGCGGCTCCTGGAACTCCCTACTCACCGTAGAAACGCGAGGCCAGGAACATAGCAATATAAATTAATAAATTTAGTGAAACTTTTGCAACTAATATGCAATATTAATTTCATTTTGTTTTTTAATATCTGTATTATTCTTGTTCCTTTATAGTATTAATAGAGAATTTATTCCATATAAGTTTATACTGTTCAGTAGTTTTTAGTCAGTATAGGGTAGCATTATGCACAGATGGACAAAATTAAGGCACCACTACAATATTTTAAGTTGAATTAAAATAGTTGTCTCCAGCGTCTATTTTCTTTATCTAATGGTATTTAGGGGATTCCAGTGTGAATATGAACCACAAATAATGCTTTATTTGCTCTTGAGGATTATTTAAATGTTGATTTCCACAGATAGTAACATTAGAATGATACTATTTGCCCTCATAAACGTGTTACCATAAGTTCTTTCCCACCAATTTAGTTTTCTAGACACTTTTTTTTTCTCCCAATGGCAAGAGTAAGCCATTTAACTTGGTTAGGACTATGACATTGACAGATGGAGGATACAGCCAGCATGAAATCACCAAGACTGGGAAAGACACCATACAATTATTGGAAGAGCTCTAAATCATTTTAGAGACTGGACATTACTCGGAACAATATGGCAAAACTCATCACATCAAGAATGACAAGGTCAGTCTAAGGTAACAAACAATACACAAAAGTACAAAATATATCAGGCAATAGGCTCTAAGAAACCGCAGTATCACCAGATGAGACAAGAAATCTCATTAGGGAGTCCAAAATTTGTCAATTTCCTTCAGAATTATTAAAAGAAGACTTAAATCATTCATCTAATCTTAGGGGTCAATATCCTGCCCATGGACCTCTGCTTACCACAGCTCACAAAATTACCAGACTTTGATTCACACAAAACCATGTGAAATGGACAATGCAAGAAATTTCTCTTTACAGATGAGGTGAGAGTTGTTCTCATATCTTCAGATGGTCGTATTTACACATGGAGACGTGCAAGATAAGCCCCATGCTGTATGGCTCCCCAGGTTGCTCAGAGATATTCTGGAGTAGCAATTCTTCGATATGTGTACGAAGTTAGTTATGGTGCAAGGAAGGTATTGGCACCAAAGAGGTACTTATAAGACATAATTAAAGTACGAGTAGTACCATTCACACACTACATTGGTGAGGGATTTCTGTTAACAGACAACAATGCCAGGACACACGGATCATGAATGGGGGATGAGTACCTGATTGATGTTGGAATTGAGCTCCTGCTGTGGCCACCACCGAGTCCAGACTTAAACACAATCAAACATGTCTGTGACAACCCTAATACATATTCATCCGCATGACGAGAAATCTGGTGGGGTGCACGCATCACATAACTTTTAGTTATCACCCTCTTCTTTTCAGAAATAAGTATTTCCAAACAAAGGGGAAGTGAAAGTAAAAATTATAAACGCTATATTGATTTATGTTTCATTGTGGATATTTTTATTTGTTTAAGTACCCTCATATATACAAATTTTAATATTTATATCGCTGTAATCTATACCATTAAATATTAAATAATACCAACAAAAACATTCACGAAAACCGAATATGTATATGTACGTAATATTGTCAGAGTCCGTATTTTATTACGCTCATGTTTCATATGGAAGCCTGTTCTAATCTTCGGAACAGCTCGGCCTCGCACGTAACCCTTTGGTTTCTACATTACAACCATTCTCTGTTACGATCTCATATTCCTCCTTTCATTAATTATCAAATTCTTTCATACTTTATATTTAACTATTTTTTATATTAGAGATCAATGTGAAATGGTTAATTGTTTCAAATACAAAAAATTAAAGGTACCTTATAGGAAGCTAATATTAAAAATTAACCATTTGAGCCCTGTTAGAGAACATCAATGAGAATAAAACCTACATAATATTAAAGACTTCTTAATTTTACACTTATATAATGAATTTAATCAAAATCGTTGGAGTCGATTTCGAGAAAATAGTAAAAATGTGTTTCATCGATGACATAAAGTACCACTTCCAATTAAACGATTTTGCAGTAACATCTAAAGTATATAAAAACCTTAAATATACAATTTCACTTTCATACAACTTTTTGTTTTTGAGCTAAACCTGTCACATACATACAGACCATTTTGCGGGACTTGGTTATTTGGACTCAGGAGACCTCAAAACATGTATTACCGTTGAAAACTCATATTCAAAAATTTTCACGATCACAATACTGTCCCTTACTATATATTTCATATATATATATATATATATATATATATATATATATATATAAATATATATAAGTGAAAGTAAA